GCTGCCTCTCCCCTCTGCGCAGGGGACGGATGAGGAAGGTAACTCAGCATGGACATCCTGAATGTGTTCGAAGGCTGATGCTTGGTAACACAAAGTACCTGGCAAGCCTTAACAGAAAGTCACAAGTGAATCAAAGCAGGTCAGTAGGAAATTTCTTCTTCTTGGCATTAACCTTCTAACCTCACAACTTTCTCTGGGAAAACCAAAAACACTCCAAGTCTTGAAAACTCACCTGTGTCATTACTTCAGCAAAGAGTGTGTGAAATCATCTCCCAGCATCTGAGCTGCTATTAATGGCAAGTGATGGTGAAAGCACTGCTACTAGTCCTGCAGCTGCTGTGTGCTAGCTGCTGTATGCACACAGAATGTGGTTGCTGTTGGAAAGGTAACAGACCAGAAAGGACTTTTCGGATATATTTTCTGAAGCATAAAGGAGGTAAGTTGCCCTTCCCTCTCCCTCATGCTCTCTCCTCCCTCTCCAGTCTGGTTCCAGAGCCTCCGAGGCACAGTGCTCTGTGAGGCATGTTGCTCCTCATGGAAGGTTAGATGATGCAACAGCAGCTCTGGCAGCAATACTGCATCTCTCAATTATCTGCATCCATGTGAGAATAAGTATTAGGGTCCCTACCTGTGAGCATGTAAAAGAAGGCAGGAGAGAACTAGCTCCTCCTTGAAGCCAGAAAACAACAATACTGTCCAGTTTTTCCAGCAATTAGCTCTCTAGGGATCTGTAAGGAGGTATCTGGTCTCACAGAGGCACCTCCTTTCCTCTAGCTCTCCCTATAATGATGCTACCACAGCCTTCCAAATTTAATTACCAAGTAATTATAAATCACGTACAGTGGCTTGATCCTAACAAGGGCTGAGTGTCACCAGGAGGTATTCAAGACTATGGAAAGTGTTTTCTCTGAGCACTGGGAGCCTGAAGGGAAGTCACCACTGGTACCTCAAACTCTGCATCCCTAACAGGGAAACCAGAAACCAGGGTCAAGCCCCATGACAGTGCAGTGTGTGACCACACACATGGGGATGTTGTTGCCACAAGTCACCCTGTGACCACAAGACGCTGTTCCCCAATTGATTTACATGAAGATGGGGAAGGGACCGTGCTGAAGGAAATGCTTACTTTTTGGAACATCCCATGCAAAGAAGTATTTGCTGATAAGCTGATAATCAGGTGCCCTGGCCACCCCTGGTATGTTAGACCTTGCTGCTTAGAGAATATTTGATCATACAGTATATCCATTAGGAGTTTGTAATCCGCTATCACAGCTTTTGAGAGCCGTTTGAGCATAAGGAGATTTTTATTAATGGTTCATGAGCCTAAAAGTCAAAATTGACTCTCAGAGCAGATTGTAACAGTTTGTGTGGCATTTATGTATTTATCTAGCTCTTCACCACCTCTTTCCCCCACCATCACCTCCCTCCACTCTACCCCAGTGCAGAGGTACAGCAGCAATAACAGAGATCTGCCAAATGGCATTTTTCCTTCCCTTATATAATTTTCTGTCTTCCTTTCCTTTCCTTTCCTTTCCTTTCCTTTCCTTTCCTTTCCTTTCCTTTCCTTTCCTTTCCTTTCCTTTCCCTTTCCTCTCCTCTCCTCTCCTCTCCTCTCCTCTCCTCTCCTCCCCTCCCCTCCCCTCCCCTCCCTCCCATTTATACATCTCTCTCTCTGTTGATCCACCTGTCATTCCATCCTTGCTTTCTTCTCCGCTTCCTTTCCTTGTGTTTCTTCTCTTCCTCTACCCCTCCTCTCCCATTCACATTGCCTCACCTTGCATAGCCCTGTGCCAGCCCAGCCCTGACCTCATGCCCTGGCCCCCCTGGCCCTTCAGGACCCTGTCCATTCACCCCAGCACACCCACTGCCACTGGCAGTGCTGGTCACACCTGCAGGCAGTGGTGCTGTAGGCATCAATATGTGCATTTGTGCAATAGATGTTGACAATATGCATCAATATGTGCATTTATGCCGTATGCATTGGTGCCACATGCATTTATAGATATGCACTGTGTGTGCATTTATGCTATAGGCATGCAAATATGCATGCATTTGTATACCAGATACATGTATGCATACGCATGATCTAAGCACTGGTTTAATCTGCATTTCTAGTTCTGCTCTGTGTATATGTGTGGTGGGTGGATATGAGGAGTGTGGCCATGGCTCGCCCCAAATACGGTGAGCTGCTGTCCCAGATTTGGCTCCCCAGCACCCCTGGCCCTGCCTGGTCTCAGGTGCTGGGAGGATCTGTCCTCATCTGCTCTTTGGGAAATGGTGGACAGAGCTTGGGAGCCTTTTTAGTCCCTAAAACTGGATGGGGTTCAGGGCCCAAATAAAGCCCAAACTCAAGTCCAAACTCAAGCCCACCCCCAAACCATATCCATACCCAGCCTTCCCAATGTTCTTTATAACCTTCACAGACACAAACTCAACCCTACCAAACCCAAACTGATACTCAGACCTCCAGCCCTATTCCTGCCACCACCCAAACCCTGAGTAAGGGCAATGCCAGGGGTGTGAGTGTAAGTTTCAGGGGTCCTGTGCCCCCTTAGTACAAGATGGTGAATCTCCACTGTGAGTCTCTAAATGTGTCTTTTTTTTAGTAGCTCTCTCCCGTATCCTTGAAAACTGGCAGTGCTCCCCAGCCCTGGGCTCCTATGGAAACACAGTCACCCCAAAACTTGTCCCTGTTTTGGGGCTCCTTGGGCTGGCTCATCCTTGGATGGGAGCAGAACCACCCTGGGTAAGGGTTTGTTCCTGGGGAGAGACAAAGCTGTGTGGGCTGCTGCTGTCAAGGAGCAGGCAGGGAGTGGGAAGGGGTCAGGCAGGGAGTAGGAAGATATATTGAGCAAGGTGCAGGCAGGGGAGCAGGCAGCGTGCAGGCAGGGTGCAGGCAGGCCAGCAGATAGGGAATCAGACACAGAAACAGACCAGGAGCAAGAGGGGATCAGATAAGAAGTAGGCAGGGTGCAGGCAGAGCATTGGGCCCGGAGCAGGCAGGAAGCAGGTAGAGGAGTTGGAGCTGGTATTTAAAGCAGCTTTGTTGTGGTTGGTTCAAGACTTCCCTCCTGGTTTTCTGGTTTTCTGCTTTTTCACTTCCATTGAGTTTTGTTTGGTTTATTGTTTGTCTGGTTTTTTGTTTCCCCTGGTGGGAAATGTCACCCTGGAGAACAGGAAGAGGATTCATATATCTGTATTTGGGGGGCCGGTGAGACACCTCAAATCAAACACCTTCTTAATGAGCTCTTTGCTCCTAAATTTGGCTTCCCAACACTAAATTGATGTGGTTCCCCTAACTTTTCTCCTGATTTTATTGTATCCAGAATTGCCTCCCACAGCCTGAGTTCAGAGGAAACGAATTCAGCTGTAAGGGAGATCTAAAATATTAGAAATGAAAACGAAGTTAAAACCCTCTTTATATAATATTTTGTGCTTGCCAGCTTAGCTTGGGATTTTGCCCTTTGCCCACGCAAGTGCCCATTTAAATTAAAATCAGAAACAAACAGGTAGAGAAAATGTGGAAAATGCAAAAAGCCAGGGGAAATTCAGAGAAATTCCTGCCGTGAATTGGCTTTTCTGATAAAACTGAGCACTAGCTGGAGGAGCTCATCCCTAACAGACAGGGAAATACTCAGGGAAGAAAAGTAAAAGATGATAAGAGGAGAAAAGCAAAATGGGAAAAGAGGTTTTAAAGAGGCTTAAAAAAAAAAGTCAAAAGCCCACGAAACAAAGAGCTCTTCAGGCAGGTGGGATGCTGTGTCCCAGTTCAACAAGGGCTTTCTTTTTCCAAGCATATATTGTTTGATTAAGGTTTTTTTGGGGGTAAACTTTGTTGGTTTGAATCAAATCAGTGGAGAAATTAAACTTCCCATACTGTTGCCCAGGAGCAGCCGGCGGTGGGGACCCAGCCAAGCCATCCCCGGCAGCCCCAGCCTCCGCGTTGCCTTCTGCTTCTCAAACCTCCGCTGCACATATCCTCCCATTTAAAAAGAATAAATGAGAAAATCACCAACTGACAAAACATGAAGCAACATAAAAACTCGCCTTCAGTCAGAGCCAGCCAATATGTTTATTTTAGAGGCTGATCTTTGCTCTAGTGGCTGGGGCCATAAATGCTGCTGTGGGAAGCAGAGGGTCTGTGGTGCCCGCAGAGGAGGACAGCCCATTTGGGATGCAGGGATACAAAGCCAAGGTATGGCTGGAGAGGCACCATAGCGGTGTTTGTGCTCCCTGGTCCTGGGGACCTTGGTGAGGTGATTGTGGCCACACAACAGTGGCCCCAGGTGACTCACAGGCAGGAGGGCACTGGTGACAATCCATGGGGATGGTTCTGGATGCCTCTTTCCATGTCTCTCTTTCCATGGGTCCATTTATTTGCTGCACTATATCCAAACTGAGTTCAGAGCTCAAGCGACCCTAGCAATGCACATGAGAAGGAGAGAGGAAAAAAGAGGGAGAAGGACAGAGAAAGAGCCACCAAGAGCAGAGGACCTGATCCTGCATCACAGTCACTGTGGCTTCAACTTGTTAAATTGTAGCTTAAACACTTGTCCCCCCTTCCTTCCCCAGCACCTCCACTCTGATGACCCTGCCTGATCACTCCCAGGTCCCAGCTTGTCCTCCTTGGATCAGCCTGGGAAATTTAGGGCTCTCCTCAAGACACAGCCAGGGACTCACACTTCCCGGGAGGCCACAGAGCAAATGCATTGCTCCCCACTAAGAGATCTGGGAAAGCTGGAGGGGAAAGTCATGTTACTCAGGGTCTGTTTGTAATGAATGGGTTTTTCCTTAGAAAAAAAATAAAAATAAAATAATCCCACCCTTAATTTTCCTTCCTTCACCTCGGGGAGCTGCTGGCCAAACCCCCTTTGTCTCAGTCCTGTAGAAGCAGTCGGACCCTCCTGGTCCCAGCCGCAGCTGAGAAATCCCCTCAGTAGATGACATCGCCTCTTTCCGTCACTCGCTGGATGCAATTAAAATAGAAGACAACCATCAAGTGTGCTAGAACCATTTTAATATAATTATACATATCTGCCAAATCCAGGAAAAAAAAAAAAAAGGTTTATGCATATATATCTTTTTTTTTCCAGTCAACATCTGCAAGCATAAACGACAATTAATTTCTTGGTTTAAATTCATCCAGGTCAGAGCAACTGCCCAAAGTCCTGTTGGATTTGATGGTTACTACCAGCATGGCCAGCAGTAAGTGAGCTCCAGAGGAGTTTAATGTCCTCGGGTTGGGTTTTTTGGGTCTTTCCTCTTTCATTCAGTTTGTTGTAAAAAGTTTCAGTGCAGTTCACCTTGGGTGAAAGGCGATCGTGTTTTTGAGGGTTTTTTCTTTTTTTTTTAATATATATTTTGCAATTATTTTTTAAAGATGATAATAGGTAATTCAGTTGCTCTGAATTTCACTTATAATTATAACCTATTTAAATCACAGCAGAACTCCCACTGGTGTGGAGTTCATAGTTGCATACAATACAGGAGATCACAGTTTTGAAGTCTAGCACAGATTAAAAACCACAGATGTACCATTTATATAAGACACACACTGATTGTCTCTTAAAAACTACATATTGACTCCTTATGAACATTATCTTCTTTTTTTTTTAATCTTTAAATAAAGTAGTGCAGCTAGGACAATCAGTCACACAACCCACACAGCCCTGAACCAAGTTCTCCGGGTGCCAACTTGAGCAAGTCGGGTGTGAAACGCTTGGATGAGCTCGAGAACGAAAGAAAGAGGGAGGGAGAAAAAGAGAGATGTTGTCCATTGCAAATACTTTAACCAAGGGTTGGCTAACATATTGGAAACCTCTGGGTGAAGGATCTTTCCACACACACACAAAAAAAAGAAATAAAAACCTAGACTTTTTTTTCTTTTTTTCTTTTTTTTTTTTAACTGGCCTGTAGGTGAGGTGGTCTCCCACCTCTTCCAAACAAAGAAACCCAACAATTGCCTAAAACTAGAAAGAACACAGATGGGTCTGTCTGTTTTCTGCTCACTAGATGATCTGTCCATTTAAGGCCTTCTTCCTCTTTTTTCCTCTTTATTATTCCTTTTCCAGAGCGTCTGAGCAGGAGATAAGTCTGAACAGGGTAACACCAACACAGTCCCCCTCTTGTTGCTGTCGGTTTGTTTGTTCGTTTGTTTGTCCGTGGAGTTATTTTTCTCTTTAATTTAACCAAAACCTGACTAAAACTGGGGCGTTCAGCCCAGCCTGTTCATTCTCATCACGATTTCTCTTGTTATCACAAAGGTTCTTCACAAAACCTGGAACTTCCATGACGATGTCTGGTCCTTATAATCCAAGCAGTCAGCATTGAAGTTTAACTTCCAAGAGGCGGTTTGGTCTTTATAATCCAAGCAATCAGTGGTGGAGTTAAAGCCCAAACTGGAGGCTCCATAGCCCTGGGTGGAGAGGGACGCTGGAGACTGGTTGAGGTGGCTGGTGACTGCATTGGCACCCATGGGACTCAGGGTGGCTCCTGGTCCAGGAAGCTGGTGGTGCATAGGGGTCAAGTAAGATCCACAGTCCATCCCTCCAAAATAGGATGTCGAGCCAGCGTATCCTTGACTGTAGCCTGATGCCTGGGTGTAGGTCATAGGATAAGATCTCTGCATGCAGGAGGAAGACGTGGACAGGGGATCTGAGAGTGGGGAGATGGATGCTGGGCTCCAGATGGATACGGGAGCACTGCTGCTGGAAATGGTGGGGACCGAGGTGCTGGAGGGGGGAGTGAATTGCCCACTGGTCCCGCTTTCCGAACTCACTTCCCGAGCTGGTGAATTTTTCTTTTTAGCTGGCCGTACCTTGTTCTGGCCCCCATTCTGCTGCTGCTGCTGCTGCTGCCGGCACTTGGCTCGGCGGTTTTTAAACCATACCTTGCGATCAAGAGACAGGGAGGGAGAGAGAAAAAGCCTCATATTAGGGATGTTCAGGCAAACTCAAGGTGGGAAAGAGATGACAGAGGGGAGACTTCACGAGGGAGGGGGGAATTAAAAGTACTCCCCAGCAAGCGGAGGGCTGCAGGCTGCTGCAAAGAAAAGCTCTGGGGCTCTCCCTCCCTGAGATCATTAGCAGTAATAACAAGTGGAAATGAGCAAATCAAACTGCTTAATAAGGTCACTTTTTGGGGGAAGCACTCCCTTATTTGCTGTTTGCCAGACGGGGACCCACAGGAATCACAATTTGAGGCCTACTGAAGTCAAGCCCTTAATTATAAACAATAGAGCATCAGAAAGGGAGGGAACAGTTAGGGAAACAGAGGCAGGGATTGGTGGGGGATGTCTCATTGATCCTCTAAATAGGTTTTCTACTCTTACCCCCACAACCAGGGCTGTCCTTCCAGCCCAGCTCACCCTCTTTTAGCAGGAAGCAAGGGGGCTGGACCTGTGGAAGAGAGGTGCTGGGGAGATTTTGTGGGGAGAAGGATGGAGCTTGGTGTGTGGGGATACTGGTCTTGGGCTGCATGCTGGGGCATGGCACAATGCAGCTTCTGGAAGCCTGACAGGGAGACAAGCAGGAGGGATGGCTTTGGAGCTGCCCTGAAACAACTGCAGGGGTGTTCTGGACCTGTGCTGGGGTCAGGATGCTCCTGCCCTTTCAGCAGCACCTCCAAAATGCTATGTGGATTGGGCCCCTGCAGGCTGCTTGCAGAGGAAACGCAGCCCAGCCCCAGGAAAGGAGTCCCTTCCACCAAGGCTTCCCATCAAAGTCCTTTCAAAGGCAGAGGAAGCCCCCAGTCTGTATTGGTGTGAAAGAGGATCACAGTCTGCCCCTACTCCAAGGATGTGGTGATCCATGGGGAAGGAGGGGATCCTACAGCTTCTGCAGGGGTCCCAAGCTCCTGCAGGGCAGGCTGGGATTTGGCATCCGGGTCAAGGAACAGCGTGGGGGTCTGGAGATGCTGGGGAGTCCTCTACAGCTCAGAGGGGCCAGGGGGTTGGGAGGGATGTAGAGGGATGTCTCAGGATCTGGGATCCAGGAGCTGCATGACTTCCCCTTCAACGCACAGGAAAGGAGGGGGGTCAAACTTTAGCCCTGGAGAGGCAAACTGCCACTCTACCCCCCACACTCGCCGCACCCTCATCTATGAGCCTCCTTCACCCCACAGGGGCTTGATTTTGCTCCAGGACTGACCCCATCCCCTACAACAGCCCACTCACCTCCTTGTCAGGCACAGGACAGCCCAAACCCTCCCCACCGGGATGGAGGTGGGGGACAGGTCCGGGGCCACACAGTTTCCTACCTGCACTCTGGACTCGGGCAGGTTGATTTTCAGGGCCACCTCCTCCCGCATGAAGATGTCGGGGTAGCGGGTCTTGGCAAAAAGTGCCTCCAGCACATCCAGCTGTGCCCGGGTGAAGGTCGTGCGCTCCCGTCGCTGCTTTCGGGGGGTGGCTGAGAAAGAAGCCAGAGGCCCTGGCTGTCACTCAGCAGCCCCTCAGCCCTGTGTGAATCCTCCAGCTCCCCCTGTCCCGGGGGTATCCCAACTCCCCCCTCTCCTGCCTCTGGGCTATCCTACCCAGTCCTCAGCCGCCACTGTGCAACAACCCCACCTCCGATGCCTCTTCCCCATCTCCCCAGGATGGGCCTGAAGCATCTGCCCCCCACCTCCAGAAGATAGAACAGGGTCCTCTCTTTGCAGACCTTTTCCTGGCTAAGAAGTTGACGGTGAGGTAGAAGGGGGAAAGGGGAATCCCACGCAACCCACCTACCCCAGCAATCCGATCCCTGGGCATATCGTACTTCCTCCGTGGGGAAAAAAAAAAAATGGGGTGGGGGGAAGAAAAGCGTGGCTTACCAGGATAACCGACGGACGGATGCAACAAATCCATGCCCGAGGTTGTGAGACTCAGGCCATTGACTGCATAAGGTGGTTGCTTAAGATAAGACATCATGCTAAAGTTGTGGCGGGGAGGAGAGTTGGCCGAAATCCGGGCGAGGGGGAGCCGCCCGAGCGAGCGCCCTGCCTGCCCCGGGCGGTGATGTGGGACCGGGGGGGGGCAGTCGGGTCCTGCAGAGACGAGAGAGGAGGGGGGAGGGAAGGAGGGGGTGTCAGGCCAGCTCGCTGCTCCACGGCTTTTGTCCCCGCTGCCTTCCCCCGACAATCCTTCAGCTCGTCGAGCCGGACCCCAGCCGGATTTGGGAGCTGGGAGAGACTGACTAGATAAACGCATATCTCCCCCCCGCCAAAAAAAAAAAAAAAGAGCTAGGAGGGGAGGGAAGGAGGGGGGCACATCCCAGCCAGTAATTATTACCCGAACAAAACCCCCCATGCCTTCAACTGCCCGCATTGTACGGCAGCAGGGGGCATTTGCATAGGATTCCCGGCCGGGCATCGGCTAATTGTCTCAAGCAAAACTTGATTGGGGCCATTGGCAGACACAAAGAACCCCTCGGCTAAATAAATAATGCAGATAACAAAGCCCAAGGGTGAGAAACAAAGAAACAATTCAAGAAACCTATCTCTCCCCTAGTCTCTTGCAAGGACTTTAATTATCCCAGGTTTGGGCAGCAGTCAAACCTCCCCCCTTTTCCCCTTCCCCCCGACGTTGCTGCATTTCAGAGCTCAAATGCCCGCTCTGGAAGAGACAAACTTTTCTGCTCTACCGCCATCAGACCAAGTCCGCAGTAATTTCCACCGGCCATTTGCACCTAATTAGTACTCTGGGTAATTAGATTTGGAGGCAAGTAACAGATTTATTAGGCTTTTAAGAAACTCTTGATGACTGAGCTGAAGCTAAACAAACACCTCGGTGGTGGGGAACGGCCCTGGGGCAGACAGCTTCCCGGGCCCGGCTCCCCCAGTCCCCGCTTGCGGCCCCGGCCTCCCTGCAGTGATAGTGAGGGGCACCCAAACAATCACTCCCCAAAGAAACGGCCGCCAAGGGGACACCCCGGGATTCTTGAAAGGGTTAAGACTGTTCTCCCATGGAAAATATATATTTGTGGGTGTTTTTTTTTTCTTTTGGGGCAAAATTTCGCCCTTTCTGTCGTTCTCGGCAGCCGTCAGAAAAACGAACTCCAGCACAACTTTCTCCCCAAGCAATCCCAAAATTTAGTGTTTCAGTTGATAAGTGCACACGGGAGCGGAGCCGCTGCCCCGGGAGGGCTGCACGCTACTGAGGGGCTCCTGAGGGACCCCCGTTGTCCGCCCGGCCCAGCTGGTGTTGTGTATCTTGCAGAGCGGAGTTTCCACTTTTCCCCTAGGGGAAGCGCTTTGCCGCCTTTAAATGCGCTGAGCGGCTGAGAGGGCGCGCATCGACCGCGGGGAGCGCAGGGTCGGGCCCCGCTTTTAACATCGCTCCCCGAGGGGAAGCTGAAGAGGGGCGGCTTTGCTGGGGGCGAACCCCGCTCCGCACCGAGGTCGGGGCGGCTTCGACAGCCAAATTTTTTTTCTACCGCAAGATGAGCAGGAGAGGAAAGCTGTGTTTGCTGCTCTTTTAAAAAGGAGCAAACAAACAAAAAATTACCGCTAACACCCCCTAAAAAAAAAACAACCAAAACCAAAAGCCAAACAAAAACCAAACAAAAAAAAAAAAAAAAAACCAACAAACAAACGAAAAGCCCAAAACAACAGCAACAAAACCTCCCAACCCTAAACCTGCACTTCGTTTATACCGGCGGCATCACGCCGAGACGCCAGCCCGGAGCGGCCGCCCGCGGAGCCGCTTGCCCGCGGCCGCGCATCCCGTGGCAGTCCCGCAGCCCGCGGAGCAACGGCTCCGCTCCACAATCTGTCACCTTTCTCCCTCCTCCTCCCCCCAGCCCTGCTCCGCAAAGATCCCGGCTACCAGTTGCTTTGCCCTCGCTCAATAATAATTACCCCGTCCGAGAATTAATTATAATAAATGTTTTCTTGATAAACTAACGAGATAATCCGGGCGGCACACGCTCCCTAATTACGGGCCACCGGCCCCGGCTCCACTGATCGCTGGGGCTGATTAATATAAGGCGGCGATCCGCGGCCGAGCGCGCAGGCTGCGCTTCTGCCCTTGGCTGAGGGCTGCACGGGGGGGGCTGCGCCTAGTCGCGGAGCAGAGCGGAGAGGCTCCGCGGACGAGGGAAGGTACCGAGAAAGAAAAGGGTATTTGGTTAGGTTTATTTTGCAAACGAGAGCTCGGTTTCCTGCCCGTTCCTGGCTCTGCCGCCCTTCTTGCATCTTTTTAATTCTTTTTTTTTTTTTTTTTTTCTCTTGGAGGGAGGGTTTGGGTTGGTATTTCCCAACACGGAATTTCCCCCCTGTGCGAAAGCTATGGGGATAGACCCTTTACTGGCTCTGCAGCGCAGCCCCCTGCGCTTAGTCCTCCGAACCTCAGCCCAGCTCCGCGCCCGCCGGCCCCGCTGCGCCGCGGGCAAACGGAGGGGCCGGCCAGGAGCGGTGGAAAGAGGTCGACCTCGGGCGCCTGACCTGCCTCGGCCTCTTCCCAGCCACCTGGCCGCGGATTTAACCACTCTTTAATTTTTATTTTATTTTTTTTTTAACTAGAGTTACATCTTTTCAGAACAAATTAATAATAAAGCTCAACTTCTCAGGGGAGCCGAAATCTAAATAAAACTCTGCAGCGAGGGAGGGTTTTAGCTCACAAGAAACTTGTGCAGGTGCACAAGGACTTTCCCGACTCTCTCTGTGTGCAATTTAGAGAAGAGAGGCCGGGTCGTGGAGCAGTGCACATTATGTGCAGTCGGTGTCTTTCGGACGCGCTTTCCCATGGCTTAAAAATAATAATAATAATAGTAATAATAATAATAATAATAATAATAATAATAATAAGGTAAAGGAGGTGGAAAACAGCTCCAACCCCTTGCAGACCTGGATGCCAATTCTTGCCATTCATTTCACCCACACCGAGACATGAAGCTCTGACCTCAGGTCCTCGGAGTTTTCTCTCCCTGCTATTTCCAGCTCGGTTCTCCCGCAGCCCGCGGGTGCTCAAAAACACCTTCGCAAAATTACTTTGCTGAGTCGTGAGGAGAAGGAGGAAGGGGTGTCTCAGGCAGGAGCCGAGAGAGAGGGGAAATTTATTCCTGTTTATAGCTAATTTTAAAAGTCCCTCTTGGCGCCAGGGAATAACTAAAAGCCAAAAGATCAGGCCGAGAAAAAATAAAAACAAATCATGTACCAAACGAAATCGCTGTGAGGAGCAGCCCAGGGACGGCCGGCGAGGCGGGGTACGCGTCTCCCGCTCCTCTGCTTTGGGTCTTTGCCTTTCACCGGGCAGGTCCCGGTCCCCGCCGAGGCCCGAGGTGTCCCGCCGGCCCCGGCTGCCCCTGGCCCGGGGCCGCCTTCTGCCTCCTCTCAGCCCTGCCAGGCCTCCCTAGGCAGCCGCTCGCTCCCCTCCGTCTCACAGCTACCGACACAGTGATCCCCGCACACAGCCTCTTTTAAAGAATAATAAAATAATACTACTATTAATAACAGTATTAATTTTAATTCCCCTTCCCCCGTGTTTCCGCCCACCCAGCTCCCACAGGAAAAATGGAGAGAGCCGGTCGGACTTACCTGCGAGCCTCGCCGGAACCGCGGGCAGGGTTGGGGCGAGGGGTGGGAGAGCCCCGGCTCCTCTCCAAAATCAGGCCTCTGGCCGAGCTGGGATAGAAAGCACAAAGCGGGAGGTTAGAGAACTGCCGCATGCACAAGCCCACGACTTCGGGGGGGGAGGTAGAGGGGAGGAAAAAATATTTGAAAAAGAAGAATAAATGGGGAGAAAGGGGAGGAAACGGTGCAGGAGAGGGATGCAGGGATGCTCGGGGACTGGGTTCGGTACATACAGAGCTGGCCGGTGCTGAATCTGGTCGAGTGATTTTATTTTTAATAATAGTGGCAGAGTGCGTTGGAGCTGAGGTCTCTACCTCTCTCGGGAAGCTTTGCTGAGAAAGAGCCTCTCTGGCAACTTTTTGACGCAAACTCTCCAACCAATGGCAGGGAGAGAGTGATTGACACATCTAAGCCAAGGGGAAAATAATAAAAACACACAACAGGGGGAGGAAAAAACAGGCCGCTGCTGTACCGGGGGGACAATCAAGCGAGAAATAACAGCCACCGAAATGACACTAGAATATACATTAAAAGAACCTGCTCGGTTTAAAAATATACATTGTGGAGCAGAGAGGATGAAGTCATTGCAGAAATTAGTGTGATGGGCAGCAGCGAGGGCGTTAACGGATTGCCCTAGGAAAGGGGGGTCAGCAAAAAAAAAAGCATAAAAACACCACCAAAAGGTATAAAAATATATAAGTAAATATTTGGGGAGGGGAGGGTGCGGGGCCGGCCAGGAGCCTTGGCAGAGCAACGCAAATCTGGGAGAGAGGAAACCCGCGGAAGCAAACGGGTGTCATCCCCCAGGACAGAGGAGAACGGGGTGCGAGGGTCCCCCCGAACCCCGGAGCCCCTACCTCACTCGCTGAGGGGTCCGAGTCCCCCGTTTCGCCTCCCAGGGGCCAAGCGTCCCCGAAGCAAGGGGAATGGGGTCACCTGGGGGGTATCAATGTATTTTAAATTATTTTTAAAGATACGTGGTGATGATGGTGCAGAATAGGACTTAGGCAGCGGCGCTGCCTCCCATTTTCAAATAGGGACGTGAACATATTTTCATGAAAATAAATTCGATGAAGCAAAGAGGGGGGTGGTGTGAGTGGTTCCCGCCGCCGAGCAGAGCCCGGCGGGGCGCACCGGGGATGGGCACCGCGTCGCTCCTCCGGCATCTCCCGTCCACGCTCAACTTTTCCCGGGTCAAAGAAACCCAAAAATAAAGCTCTGGCAAAAGGCAGGAGGACGGAGACGGCTGAGGTCGGAGGGAGGGAGCGCTCACACACTTTCCTCACTTCTCACAATGGGGGAAAATCCGCGGCGGCTCGATCATTTTAAAGGGGTGACCTATGTTAATGAAGTTATAGCAATTAATTCGCCTCTTTGTGGCTCTCCCTGAGCTGGGCTGGTGCAGTCCGATGAGTTTGTCCTTGGGCTTTGGGGCGATCCCAGCGCTGTGGGTGCAGCCTGGGCTGGCGGCTGGCAGGAGCAGGTTTGGGGTGCTCGGCTGGGTGGGGGCTGGAGTGTCGGCGTTGGGATGGGTGTTGGTGTTGGGATGGGTGTTTTGCTTTCCTCCCGGAGAGGAGGAAGGAGGGGGCAGAAGGGAGGGAAGGAGAGCAGGGGAAATTAAACAAATAAGCAAGCAAACAAACTACCTAACCTCTCGCACAGAAGCAGCGCAGCCCTGTCTGCCGGAGCCGCTCCCACTTTGGCCGCTTTTGGTTTTCTTTTTTTGGCGAGATGACTTCACGGAAAGTTGGTACCCGGGTATTCCCCCTGAAACCCCCTGGGCCCTCTGCTCCTTGGAGTTCTGTTTTCGGTTCTTGTATATATATGTATATGTACATGTGTGTGTATATACATATATTTGTATCAATCTTCTCCCCCCCCCCCCCAAGCCGCCAAGCCGTGAGCCTCTTTGCGGGGACTTCTTGTGGTTTTACTTGTTTAGTTGAGAGGTTTTGTTTTGTTTTGCTTTTTTTTTTGGGGGGGGGGGGGATTAGCGAGGGGCGGCTGCAAACACACACACAGGCACACCCATCCATTTGCAGCATCCCCCATCCTCCCTCTACCCTTGCACAGAGATTCAAGCCGGGTAAATCCTTCCCTCTCACCTCCCCACATGTCGCCGGGCCACGCCGCCCCTCAACCTCCCCTTTTGCAGAGCACCAGTAATAAATATCCCGATTGAACCCTTCCCCCCCACCTTCGCCTTTGCCATCGTCTCCCGCCCCCACATATTATTTAATAACCTTAATCCACCTTGGAAGAATGAGAGAGATAATTCGTTGCCGTGTATCCTGACCAGGAGGGTATTTTAGAAATCGATTAAAAACAAAAGGAAAGAGAAAAAAATAAATGAAGGAAGAAAGGGGTGTTTGGGGGCTGGAGGAAGCTGCGGCAGAGAAATAAAAACCAGTGCCTGAAGAAAGTAGCTGGGAGAACAGGTTTGGAAGCGCAGTCCTTGCCTCCCAGCCGGGCTGGCAACCCTGCCTGCAGCTGCCCGTGCTTCCTGCCCTGCCTGCAGCCTGTCAGGGGCAGCGGGGCCAGACCAGCCTCTGCCCCCCTCCCCGGTCTGAGGAGCTGGGAATAATTCGCCCTGCCAATAAAACAAGTGGCAGAGGTGGACAGTGCTCCTTAAATAAACAAGGGTCTCTTTAAAATTCCCATCCAC